GGTTTAATTTTGGCGATGTGGACCCGCGCCATTTGTAATAGTCTTAGATTTATTTTTTTCCGCAAATATTTAAACTGTTAAAAAGCATGCAAGAATGAATGTCCTAATTAAAATCAAGCGTAGAACACAAATGAACATGACAAGACAAATAACTGAAAACGACACACAAATCGCACACACCACCCCTAGGGTACGCCTCACTGTTGCCTTGCCTCGAAAGGTGATCGTCGAGTAGAGGACGTCTTAGTAAGTCCTCATGATCCGGGAACCTGGCATGAGGGTAGCTTCTAAGGTGTCTTCCCATTGCTCTGGTGATCACCATGTCCCGAACCTCGAATTGACCCGAACACCTCCAATGGTGGTGCTACCTATCTCTCAATGGTGGGATGGCACTACTTTAAAGGACTCTTACACAGACGAATTCCTTAGGGTAGGTAGATGACTCTAGATACTTGCTCTAATTTCAAACAAATCAAAATATCTTTTCACACCGACACTTTTCAAAAGCTTTCAAAGCAAATTTTTCAAACACTCTGACGTACGAGTCGAACTGAAATTTTTCAAAGAAACTTTTTAAAACCCACATTGAAAAGCGAACAAAACATTTTTGAAAACACATTGAGCAAGTATCTAAGAGCCCATGGATAACTATGGATAGAAAGGGTGCTAACACCTTCCCTTTCTATAACCTACCTCCCGAACCGAGAGCAATCTCTTTAAGGAATTTTTCTGTGCTTTTGTCCTTTCCATTTGGAGAAAATAAAAGACGGTGGCGACTCTTGCTTCCGCGACATTTCGCGAACCAGCTTTAAACAGTCAGTTCCAGATCCGCCGATCACAACATGTTTAAACAGTTCAAAACTTTGGTTTAATTACAACTTGGTTGTCCTATTAAAGTTGTTCAGTCTGATCGCGGTGATGAGTTTAGGCCCTTTAGCAAGTTTCTGGCTGACTTAGGGATTTTGCACAGGGTCATATGTCCTCACACACATCACGGAAATCGTGTTGTGGAAAGAAAACATAGACATATTTTGGATCTTGGTCTAACTCTCTTAAGCCAAACATCCTTGCCTCTCACCTATTGGGACTATGCTTTTTCCATGGTAGTTTATCTTATCAACAGACTCCTCTCCCCATCTATTAAGTTTCAAGTTCCTTATTTTTTGCTATTTCACTCTATGTCTGACTACAAGTTTCTAAAGGTATTTGGATGTGCCTGTTTTCCCCTACTTAGGCCTTATCATACACACAAGTTAGAATTTATTTCTTAGGAATGTTTGTTTTTGGGGTACTCAACTTCACACAAAGGATATAGATGTCTGTCTCCTTGTGCAAGATTGTATATCTCCAAGGATGCATTATTCAGTGAGTCATGGTTCCCTTACCTTGAGTTATTTTCCAAGTTTGTCCTTGTATTCCCTACTACCCCTATGTTTGCTAAAATTCATTCCTCATCTGATCTCTCTTCTCTCTTTTCTAATCCTACTTTTCCAAAACCTATGCCTCTATCAGCAGTGTCTTTTCCTTCAACTGCCTCTACTACTTCTACTATTCAACCTAACTCTCTCTTATTTGGATCAAATTCCTCTACATCCTCCCACCAGTCACCTACTTCTATTAATAATCATACTTCCATTGGGCACACTCCATTTGCTTCTGCTTATAATCCCATTACTTCTGAGCACACTCCCAACATTTCCTCTCCTAACTCTTTTATTTCTCAGTCAGAGGCTTCATCGTCATCTTTTGAGCCTTAACCTTAAATTCGTACTAATGTTGTGCATGTGACTTGTAAACCTATCAAACATTATCCTATGAAAACAAGAGGAAAAATGGGGTTGTTCAACCTAGATTAGACCCCAAGCTATTAATATCTCACAATGATCCCAAGTCCATAAAGCAAGCTCTTATTGATTCCAAGTGGAAAAGTGTTATGCAGCCAGAATTTGGTGCCATGTTTCAGAGCAAGACTTGGTCTCTTATCTCTCTTCCACCAAATAGACAACATATAGGGTAAAAGTGGGTGTTTCATGTTAAAGAAAATCCTGATGGCGTAGTCAGCAGGTACAAGGCCCGCTTTGTTTCTAAGGGTTTCCATCAGAGGTAGGGATTTGACTTCAATGAGACATTTTCTCCAGTTGTGAAGCCCATCACCATCAAAATAATCTTGACTATTATTAATACCCATCAGTGGTTTATACAACACCTTGATGTTAATAACGCATTTCTCAATGGGTTGATAGATGAAGAAGTTTATATGGATCAGACTCATGGCTTTGTTGACTCAAACTCTTCTCTTGTATGCAAACTGCACAAAGCTCTCTATGGGCTATAGCAGGCTCCCAGGAAGTGGTTTGAAAAGCTACAAACAACCTTGCTTAAACTCAACTTTAAACCTAGAAAAGGTGACCCTTATCTCTTTATCTTTGTATCCAATGGCCACACAATCTATTTACTTATGTATGTTGATGATATCATCATCACTGCCAGCAACTCTTCTCTTCTCCATGACATCATCAGCAAACTCAATTCTGCCTTTTCCCCTCAAGCATCTTGGTGACGTTGATTATTTCCTTGGCGTTGAGGTTAAATCCACTTCTCAGGGCTCACTACTTTTAACTCAGACAAAGTACATCAAATATTTGCTGCACAAGATTAACATGATTGACTATAGTGTTGTTCATTCTCCCATGCATTCCACATGCAAACTCATAAAATATGGCTCTCTTGCATTAGCTGATCCCTACATGTACAAGTCAGTTGTGGGGGCTCTTTAATATGCCACCATAATAAGACTTGACATAACATATTCAGCCAATAAAGTTTATTAGTTCATGTCCCATCCTTTGGAAGCTCATTGGGTTGCAGTTAAAAGGATCCTTAGGTATCTCAAAGGAACCATTCAACATGGTCTTCACCTCTCCCCTCATTCTTCCTCTCAACTTCATTATCTCAAAAGTGTTATGTGATGTTGGTTGGGCTTCAGACCCAGATGGCAAGGAGAAGTACATATGGGGAAGTTGTCTACTTTAGAGGTAACTTGGTGTCATGGTGGTCCAAGAAGAAAACGGTTGTTACTAGATCCAACATAGAAGTTGAATACAGAAGTTTGGCTCAGGCCACTACTGATCTTCTTTGGCTCAGACCTTACTTCTTGAACTGAGTGTGCCTACTCAGTATCCTATAGTTCTTTGTGATAACCAGACTACTATGATGTTAGCTCAAAATCCCATTATGCATTCAAGGATAAAACACATGGAGATTGATCTCTTTTTATCAGGGAGAAAGTTCTTGCCAAATAGTTGATTGTTGCTCACATCCCTGGAGTTAATCATATAACAGATGCTCTTACAAAACCTCTCACTTCAACCAAATTTCTTGAGCTTAGGCACAAACTCAGGGTTGCTTGCTCCCCATAAGTTTGTTGGTGGGGGGGGGGGGGGGGGGGGGGGGTATTAGAGTGAACTTAAGTAAAGTAGGTTTAACTATTGTAAAATCTAGGATAAATTGACAGATGTCGGGTTTCACTAGTAACTGACTTGCTATACTAGGTCACACAATTTGTAACTATAAATGCAAACTGTGAACTGTATTGTAACTGTCTTTTCACAATACCAAAATCAATTATAACTGAAATTAAGAGTTCTGTTATAATTTCTATTACAATTAAGGCTTAAATTAATTAATTTTCATTATTATAAGACAACCATCTAGTTGTAACTTTTAGAAATGACAACAATCTTAAAAATTAAAAAAAAACTTGGTAAATATAACTATTTAAAAAAATATAGAAAAATCACTTATATTTTAATCACTATGATTTTGTTTGAGAGTTTGGAGGGAAGAGAGACGAGGGTTTTAAAAAAAGATTGAGTAAAAAGAATAAAAGAATTTTGGTGGAGAGAATTTTAAAAGATTTATTTTTATTCAAAAACCAAAAATTCAAATATAACTTATGTTATATCATTAAAAATATAAAAACATGTTAAAGATAAACTCTCTTTTATCATTCTATGCAAAATGTTTTTTTAAAAAAACATTAAAGATTTCTCTATATCTTTTATTGTTTTCGAAATCCTTTTTGTCCCTCCCTTTCAAACTCCCAAACAAAACCTAAAAAATAAGTATAATGAGTAGTGTTTACACTATCAAATGAGCAGATATTCTGGGTGATGCATTTAAGTCTGCTGACTAGTTTCACACTTGATCTCACAAGAGCAGATATTTTGAGTGATTCATTCAAGTTTGTTGATTAGTTTCACAGTTGATCACAAAGGAGCAGATATTACAATGTTTTTTATACACATTTTTTCCTACTTTACATATTTTTGTGTATAGCATGTTCTTAACTCTTTGTTCATCTTTCTTTGTTTTCTCTATATACTTCTCAATAATAGTCATTAGAAGAACCTCTAATGAAATGAGTGTTTGGGATGGTCAAACAGCCAATAAGTTAAACATAGTAGTCTACAACAAAAAAAAAACATTTGCAGTGACCATAATATGATAGAGAGTAGAATTATGAGTTAAATTAAGTTAGAATATTAATTTAATTAAGTCATTTATATTATTATGTATTACTATTGTTATTGGGCTCTTAGTAGCATTTGGGCTTTTAAGTTATTTGGTTCCTAGTTTTCTTAGTTTTGTTAGGGTTCTTAATTAACATCCTATCAATTGGTGCTTTCTTTCTTGCACTAAAGCTTTTCCATGGAGCATTCCAACTTCACACCCTCATTTCTTCAACGGAGTATTCCTTCAACCTATCCCACAAATCCATATGTTAAAACTCGATCACCATATTTTTATTTTAATCATGGATATACACCACATCCACCTAACCCATATTCATCATATTCAACATCTCATCATTCATACTACTCAATAATTGTCGCACACAACTATAACCAACAAACACCTCCTCCACAATTAATCATAAATATCAAAATCACTCTTATAATAAAAAAATATTGAAAAGCATTTACAAGTGTCTCATCCTTATGTTAAGAAAACATCTCACAAAATCATATCACCTGCATCACATTACCTACAAAAACCTAAAAAAACTGTCGCCACCCTTGAAACTACTCGACATCATCTTATCTCAATCACCACAACCAAGCTCTGTTAACAAAAACCCTAATTCAATCCCAAATTTCAAACCTTCTTCACTCTTCCACTCTTCTTCTACCTCATTCGTTTCATTGGAGGTTGAACCAGAGAATCTCCAGATTCCCGAAACCATTCTCTACACCACTCTCACTCCACTTCCTCTCGCCGCCCACGAATACCTAGATTCCGACAACCACGGACAATACTATGTTTTCCATAACAAAATCTCCCTCGACACGCCTCAAGTTAAATCCGTTCATTCCACCGCCCAAGATTTCTTCTCCCTCGATGTCGCTGAAGAAGCCGAAGACAAAGACACCCTTCTCGAGCCTAAGACACCAGCGCTTGGGCCCGATCCGACGCTAAAGTGTGGTTGGTTTCGTGGGAATTATGAATTCAGAAGCTCCGTGCTTCAGGTTCATAAAGAGATAGTGGATTTTTGTGAATTTTCGTCACCTACTCTGGAAGAGAAAATGAAACGAGACTCAACAATAGAATCTGAGTTTGAAGTTATTAATCATATATGGCCTCATTGTCAAGTTGAAGTTTTTGGGTCTTTTAGGACAGTGTTGTATCTTTCTATTAGTGATATTGATGTTGTGATTCTAAAATCAGGTTTAGTCATTTTATTTCCTAGTTGTGATATCGTTTTTGAGCGTATGGGATTTTTAAACAATAGGTTTCTCCTTGTGCAATCGATTCAATCATTGTATCAATCTCGCTGCTGCCACTTGAACCAACTCACCATTTGTTTGATGAAATGGCGAAATGAGACACTACCAGATTCTTCATTGCAGAGGTGTTGTGCATCATCTCCATGACCTACGATCCTGGTCCACTTGCGACTAAGGAAATTGAGTTTTTGAATAGGCCACACAAGTCAGAACGAATTGTTCCTCATAGCACATTGAGTCAAGAATACACAAAATATGATACTGTTGTTTTTTCAATAGGACCTGCTTCAATGTTCTGCAACCAAACCACCTTTAGTGTCACCACAAACAGTTGCTGAAAGTCACATGTCATAAGAGATTGATATATTTTCCTTGAAAACTTTGAATAATTGGGAACTTAGTGCAGCTTGGAATCCATCTTTTACTAGTCATCCAAAGAAAGCTTCAACTATAGAAGAGCTAGTTATATTTGGTTTCGCGCCAACTAAACCTTATGTTGTGGTTGGAATTATTTCTGCTAATGGAAAGAAGTTGGTTCATAAAGTTGATATCAAATTAAATAGATGCAGTCTTTGCCATGACATAAGTGTTACACAAAAGTACAATGTGATCATGGATTTTCCACTAACCATTGATCTTATCAGACTTCTAAGAGGAGGACCATTGATGAAGTATGGTAAGAATGAATATGTAAGGATTGGGGTAATGCCACACTACGGTAATGCCGAGTCAATCAAATGGTTTGAAGTGGAACCTAATTGCACCTTTCATATCATCATTTTTTTTTTAGGATGAAGATGAGGTTGTAGTGAGGGGTTGCAGATCTCTTGATTATTTAGTTCCTAAACCTGACACGTGTTCGAAAGAATTTGACTACTTATCTCGTTATTATGAATGGAGGTTGAATATGCAAACTGGAGAGGTTAAGGAGAAAGATCTTTGTGGTGACAAAGTTGTTTATATGAATTTTTCAATGATCAATGAAAACTTTGTAGGTATTAAGCATAAATATGCTTACACACAAGTAGTTGATCACATTGCAAGCTCTACCCCTCAAGATGTGCAAAGGTATAGAGGTTTAGCAAATCTACTTTTACCTATAACCATAGCCTGTGTTGCCAAGGAACAACAAGAACTAGTTGATTTTGAATCATTTTTTACTCATACAATTTGCCATGAATGCTGCCATGGAATTGGTCCTCATGCAATAACACTTCCACCTGTGTCTCAAAATAAATTCCATGTTATGACTGTTCAGTTTAAGCAATGAGATCCGGGAACAATTTTAAAACTTTGAGGATAAGGTTCAAGGGAACCCGACGACAATGATAGAGAGTAAAATTATGAGTTAAATTAAGTTAGACGACAATGATAGAGAGTAAAATTATGAATTAAATTAAGTTAGAATATTAATTTAGCAAGTCATTTATATTATTAGTTATTAGTAGTGTTATTTGGTTCTTACTAGTATTTGGACTTATATATATATATATATATATATATATATATATATATATATATATATATATATATATATATATATATATATATATATATATATATATATATATATATATATATATATATATTTTATTTCTTAATTTTATTGGTTTTGTTAAGGTTCTTAGTTAAGCACCAATTGATAGGATGTTAATTAAAAACCCTAACAAAATCAAGAAAACTAAGAAATAAAACAAAAGATGATAAAAGACTTTTTTATTTGATTCTTGATATTCTCAATGTCTCAAACAGACTACCTATAGTATTATGACTATAGTATTCATAATGGATAATAAATTTAAAAATTCAAATACTACTAAGTGCCCAACAACCATACTAATAGCTAATAATATAAATAAAATTTAATATTTTAAATTAATTTAACTCATAATTCTACTCTCTATAACTTGACACTACACCCAATTCTGCCCTATAACTTGACATTACACCCACTCTCACTACGGTCAAAGGACCAAATAGAGGGATTCTGGTAACAACACTTACCAACATCTGTGCAACGCTTGGGTTTTTTTCCTCACTTGGAGTACTGCTCAATAACTGGTCAATAAACAAATATGTAAAGTTTGACGACATTCAGTGTAAAAGAATGGGACTCATATAATTTGTAAAGTTCTTAAATTTAAGAAACTACGTTCATCTTATAAATTTGATAGCTTAAATTGTTGAACCCTGAGTTTTAAGGATCAAAATTATAATTTACTCATTAAATTTTTTAGTAAAGACTAACCATCTTAATTTAGTGGCAAAAAATGATATACAAAATTTCCAAATCTAAGATTAAAATACACAAAAGATGGAAATGGCAACCACCATTAAACAAAACTACTAAAGACATCTTTCTTTCTTAAAATACTATCCTCTGAATCTAGGACTTCTCTTTTTTACAATGAAGCGAAAAGTGCACAAACTGTACTTGAGTCTCCTGTACATCTCCTGAGTATATTCACACGGTAAGGCAGCTACAAATCCTTGCGACCACATCAAATGAAGCCTCTTTGTGGATGTTTCTGCAAATTCTAATGTTTCTGCTTCTGTTCCTTTACTGTTATAAACCAGATTCATGAGCCCAAAAGGCATCTGGATCAGGACAAAATAGAGAAAAATCCTGGATTTCCATATTCGCTATATGCCAATTGACAAAACGGGCTTGTACCGACTTGAATAAAAAAAGGATGATGGGCAAAAGCCAACATTTATCGTCTTCCCTGCAAGAGCATTCCATCAAAAGTTTAAAAATAGAGAGTACCAAGTTAAAAAATACACCAAGAACTCTGGGAGGACATGATTGTAGGAAATGCCTTTTTGTTAGTGGAAATTCCTGAACTCTAAAATCTTTCTACCTTAAATATTTTCAGTGAAATACAACCTTTTGCAAAACTTTTATATCTGCGTTGGAAAATTGTGACAATATTGAATCTGAGAGTTGCTGTGAAAAAGAGGGATTTAAATCCTCTGCATTCAAAATTTCGCAGTCCCTGCAGTTAGTGCATTGTGTGGGCTATTTATGTCATTTCCTCACTCTAATTTTTTTTGTTTCCTTCCCATCTTTAGCTAATTTGCTCTAAATGCAGGAACCTGCAGTCTGACTGCAGGGAATCCATATCCGAAAAAGAGAGGGTGTATTTCAACGTGACAATATTTTGTGATATTTCAACGTGAGCTCATTAACATGGATACACTGGCTTGTATCAGTGTAGTCCAAGTAAAAACGGTAGTAAAAATACAGAATAAAAATGAAATAAGAAATAACATGTAGCATTGAAAATGCAAAGATGACTAACTATCCCATAAGTCCATGTTTCAGCTTTTATTGAACACATGATACTTTCCCTCAGACAAATCTTACCAAAATCTCTATGCAGAATGGATAAGAAGATGCAATAATTCTTCAGATTTGATTTCTTAATGTACTATTAGACACAAGTAAATTTAAACAGGAATGCAGGTAGGTTGCAAAATATGTTGTTTGAGATGAAATTATGCCATTAAGTAGTTGATTACCTCTTAACATTCCGTGTACTTGCCTCATCAGGGGAGTGAATATGGGATAATGTATAATGAAGGAGGCAACAAATAAATGCCACTCCCTGCATACACCCGTGCACACACATGTTAGATAAACAGGAAATATACATCAAATGATGCTTGAATGAATATATCCTAAAAATTTTAAAATTCAATATTAGAGAGTGTTGGAGTAGTATCTATAGTAGAAAAGACAGTGGAAAATAGGCTTGGGTGGTTTTGACATGTAGAGAGAAGACAGGCAGATTCTATGGTAAGGAAGAGAGTAGATCACATGGAGAGAGTCAAACGGCTAGAGGTAGAGAAAGACCTAGAAAAACTATAAGAGAAATTATTAAGAAAGATCTTAAGATTGACGTTTTAGATAGAAGCATGGTCCTGGATAGAATATTATGGCGGAAGTTGATCCATGTAACTGGCTCCACTTAGTGGAATAAGACTTGGTTGTTGTTGTTGTCGTCCTTATTCAATATGCCTAGAATTAAAACTCTAAACAACACTAGTACCTAGCTTGTTATGTATGAAATCATAAACTCAAAGTCTTTATCCTTCGTCTTTGCTTTTTCCTTATCTAAAACCCTGTTATCTCAGCACTATTCTCCATGTATCCCAAAATTTTACCACAGAATATTGTGTTTTTCAAATGAAAATTCTGTACTACTAGCCTCAATTGTAATTTAGATATTTCCAAGTAATTGCCTTATAGCAGTTAGAACTTTTTCATATGCTTAACAATATCTTTCAGCAGTCTCCTCTTCACATGTTTATGTAGTCCGTATTTTTACGGCAGGTTGCTCCCCACAAACAAAGCCTATTTTTACTGCTTCTCATCTGCTTTACACATGCAATGGGAAGTTATATCAAACGGTGTTGCAATATCAGCAGAACTTACAATATTAGACAGAGAAGTAGCATTCCACAGTGCATAAACTCGAGAAAGTGATGCTCTTCTAGGTTCTTTACTGAATAAAGCATTCAAACCAGCAGGAAATGGAGACAGTAGAGAAAGAGGGAGGATTAATAAAACAGAAAGAAAAGCTGCAAGAGAAATCCAGTAGAACTGAAGCAACATGAGGAGAGTGACAGAAAGATCAGCTAAAAGCATCAAAGAAATCAGCAGCTGCACAGTATCCTGAAACAAGAGTGTCATGTATTAGACAATGTTCGACTTATAGTTGTGGAGAGGTGGATCACATAATACAATTTAACTACCTGACGACCAACAGGTCTAGTGTTGCACAACAGGAGAGAAAGTGGGAATAGATAGTCTCTTTTGAAGTCCAATGATCTTAAGGTAGCATCGTTTATCAGGCCACCATTAATACCTCCAGTTATTCTTTTAAGAGATAAGGAATTTCCCATGTATGGCCAATTATGTTGTAGTTGCTGAAGATTCTTTCTTCCATGTGCCACATTTTTCCTGTCATGAGCACAAAACAAAATCCCTTGAAGCTACTATACATAAGGTATTTATATTAAAAAAATATATGAATTCTAGTTGTCCTAATCTCCATCTAGGAGGTATGAAAACAATATCAAGGAATCAAGCCATCCAAAATGGGATGATTGATCTCAACCCCTATCATTGGAATTTGGAATGAGCCTAGCTACAGTCTGAATGTATGCGGCATTAACTCAGCGTTGTAAGTTACCTCATAGCTTCATCGGTACCAACCCATGTATCAGACTGGTGCAAATCATGAATAGAATATTCTCCAACTGTTACCACAACGCCCAGCTGATAGTAACCAGAAGCTGTTGCTTGGAACCATCCAAGCTCAACTTTAACTCCGTGGAACTCAAGTTGGGGGTTTGCATGACTATTTATCCAATCAATAACAGGACCTAGTGCAGTGCGAATTGAACCATGCCTCACTGTCCGTAAATGAGCATTTAATCCAGATTCCAACCGATTCCAAACAGTTGCTGGGACATGCTGTTAATATAAATTAGGCATTTGAATGACCGTCATTATACAGAAAAAATAATGACTAAATCTTAACAACAGGAATAATCAAGACACCTGGCCAAGGAGGTTTGTCAACAGTGTATCACTGTGAAGATTGTAAGGCGTCATATAGTTTCCATCCCCACCAAAAATTATGCACATGGGAAATCTCTTCTGTATAATTGATACAATGTCTAATCTTTTCTCATCACCGCCAAGGAAAAAATCGATGAATGCTACCATTAAATCTGGAGTTGCCCCAACCTGCATGAATTGTTTCTTAAATTAAAGACGTTAAGATTTGTATGAAAGTGTGTCACTTAATACTATGAAAACCTTTTAATTGCAAGGTCTTCAATTCAAATACCGTTTTGTCCGAGAAAGCAGAGGAATACAAATTAAATGTCACATTTCCATATGCTTAAACAACACTGTTGTTTATAATTGTCGAGTATTAAAATAAAAGGACGCAGTCTAATAAACATGACAACATCCTCTGAATTTGGATACAACCATGTTGTAACTTTCAAGCTTTATATGAACATATTGATTGCTTATAGGAACTCTAGATAATTACAAAGAAGTAACCGACAAACTTTCTGGTAGTATATTACTAATCAAGATACAATTCTTAGAAGTTGAAGCATTTTAATGAATAGAATATGGGTGAAAAAATACATTAGTACAAATCGCTACTATTACTCGTGCTTATACCAAACCATGCTCAAGAACATATGCAATTTACTGAAATCTTTCCAAGGAAAACCAAAAGTGAAATTTTGATAGTGAAAGGTCAATTCAATTGTATTCAGTCAAAACCCAGCCGCCTATATCATAGGATGCAGTAGCATCAATAAATCACAACATTAAAAAAGTCATTTTAGAATTTTAGGTTAGCTTTAATTTTTCATGATGACTGTATTATTTCATGACATATACTAGCTTTTCAGTTTTCTATATTAATTTAGGACTAACTGTCCTTTTCTTTATTTACTTTAAATGCTATTGTGAGCAGACCAGGCATTGTTGGTCATGGATTGTTCTTTGGATGTTTGTGTCTTAGCTACGAAGCCTTGTGTACCAGCAAATCACCCTTACCCTCACTTCCAAATTCCAAATGAACCTTCAATCTGCTTATTCATTATAACTGAGTCCTTGATACACCAAAGAAATTTCAATATGTTAAATCCTAAAAGCTTCTTCTTACCTGCATCCTTCTACATTGTCTCTAACTATTGCAAGAAAAACTACTTCAATAAAAGTGAATAACTAGGAATTTGTGGAAATTACTCCAGAGTGTTAAATGTCTAAAATTCAAACCTTCATCCCTTTATACAAAGCACGGGAACGACAGGAGCGCAGACAAGAATGGTCGTATTCAGACTTGACATATTCCTGAAGGCGACCAATTTTGACTCTTTGTCGCCAATGCTTCCAAGACCAAGCACAAGGATATGCCACAACTGAAAGTATACTGTGCACCGATCCTTCCCACCAATCATAAGCAGCAACAGAATTGATTTCATCAATAAATCTATTAAAAGCATCCTCATACCTGCATCCCATTCAGATCAAATCCTAATCAAAATCATGATTATTCTTATAGATTAAAGGTGTAATATAAAACAATTAATGTGTCGTTTCACCTAACAAATGATTTTCTGGGTGATAGTTTGTTGATAACATAGTTCCAAAAACTGTTAGGTGAAAGCATATTAATGATTTTATATTACATCACAAGCAGTTTTACAGTATTATGATGAGAGAATTGAATGCTAGGGTGCCATTAATCCTCCCAAACAGGGGTTGCTTATATTTTTTTTTATATGTGCTTGATGTAGAATCTTCATTAAGAATGTTTCCCGTGGCAAGAGGTCTTTTGCATTAGAAACTTCTAAGAAGAAGTTGTTTGGTGGCAAATATCAGAATTCAACAAGTACAGAATAAACTAAGTTCCACCTAAGTGGAATAGCCATGATTTTTAGCAACAGCAAAGATTTATGATATGGACTAAAATAAATACATTGTTCACAGTATTTATCAGCACATGGTCCAATAAGTAAAATAACATCAGAATCATGACATGCACATGTGAATAAGTGTTTTCTTACACAATTTCAATTATAGCATGGGGAGGCGAGTAAGGAAGATGCCAGGGTTCTCTGAAAGTATTAGGACCCATAAAGTACATTCTGTGTACATGAGTTTGAGTTTCTTCAGCTTTGGCTCCACGCACCTAGTTTCAAAAACATAAAATGTAAAGCATCCAATAGTTTCAGACATAATGTGTTAAGGGTCAATTATTTCCACATAAAGACCCAATTAAACAGTGCAAATTTTGGTATCAGAATAGTACCTCAGAAAGAGAAAGGAGATGTGGAAAACTCTGACGATTATGGTGTTCAATTGAACTTGAACTATGATATTTACCAGAACCAATCAACTTGATTCTCAAAGTACTTAGTAGCAGAGCCAAAAGCAATAAAATGAATGACAACATTAATGAAAATGGCCAGGGACCCCCAAATGTATAAATTAGCTCCTCTAGAGGTGTGTAGCAATTTGGCATTCCATACTTATCTGATAGACATTTATATGGACAAGAGCGCTTTGTAACTCCCCCTGCAATGAAAAGAACCACATTAAAAATTAGAGATAGAGCAGAGGTAGGGAGGGACATAAAGTCAATATAAACCATCAAAGATACCTCGTTTATATATGAAATTTGCACGATTTGGAAGAAGATCGAGAGGACAAGGAATGCAAAGATGTGCATCAGAACCGTCGACATCTTTGTAAGTACCAACAGGACATTCCTGAAAATTTTACAAGAGCAGAGAATTATGTCTTCTGAAAATACTTACAAGAGGGCGTAAAAAACAATTTTTCTAAGCAGAGCTCACTAGTTTCTCCATATTTCTTCTTTACTGCAGAAAGTGATACATAGATACTTATATCCAACAGTCTAGGCAAAAACAAATGAACAAAAAAATAACCAAAGGAACAAACCTTGCAGAAGATTCCATACAGGCCTTTAGGACATGCTTTCCCAGTTATGGTACCCTCTTGTCCATGAAAACCACCATCGTCCCCGGCACCGCCACTGTTTAAAATCATGAAAAGGTGATGTTGTCAGCAGTTTATTTAAAGAAACTGCCCAATACTTTTTTACCAAAATAACCATAACATTATTTAACTAACCATGGTTCAAGTTACTTAAAAGAAAAAATTGTCAGATTGGTCGTCAATAGATTATGGTGTCAGTTCATTAGTCCTCTAAAGTTGAAAACAGTGTTCTAGATCAAGGAAACACAGGAACCTTCTATTGTGTTCTGATTCTAAACCCGGAAACAGAAAAGTGATTACGCATACCTATAGTTCATGGTGCCACTAATACTTGCAACAGGAACATATTCTTCCCCCATACCAATCTTTGACCAATGGAAATGAACTCGACCTCCTCCACCACCACCACCACCGAGGGATCCACCATTACCCCCAACAATAGATAAAGAGGAACTCTCCATAAGCCTGAATTCTTGAAGGAAAAGAAGGACTGTTCCACCAGAACCTCCACCAAGACCACCAACCAATGAGCCATCACTGCTTGTTATTGCTTTGCTAAAGCTTTCACCATCTGCCCTCAAGGATCCATAAAGGTCAAGCCTCATAAGTGGCCACTGAATGGATCCCATCACTAGCCAAATTTAAACAACAAAAACTTTGATCAGAGAATATTACAAAAAGTATAGATATTTAAAGAAGAGGCAGACATATAGAGTCTGCATCCATGTTAATATCAGAAGCAAATTAGATAATCCATTTTACTGAAACATATAAACTCCAGTATTTAAAACTATTTACCAATCATCCCTCCTCCAACAACATGCCCATATGACTCATTAGGGCCCTTAGTTCCACTTCCCAACTCACATGGAAGAATAGCATTTCCATATTCATTACCACCAATACTCATTCTCCCTTTGAAATATCCAGACCCTCCTTTTCCACCATGCCCAGCACCGCCGCCAGCCCCATTTAAAAAGTTCCCTTTACCTATGCCTTCAGTGCAACCTGAAAAAGGTCTGTCTAATCAAAATCTAAAAATTATAATATCCTTATTTGGCAATTTGCATTTTGACTAGCCTGCAAAAACTTAAAAGGGAAGAAAGTAACCAGGAATACAGGATTTTGAAAGAAAAAAATAGTTACCTAATTCAGAGGCTGTAATCACACCGTCAGTATCAACAACCACGGTTCTTGCCCTGTGAATATGAATTATGCTTCCTTTCATAATGCCATTTACACTAAGATCCTCAACACGACAAATCTATAAAACTCAGAAGAACTCACAATAAGGTTCTAATTGAACATAAATATCGTTGTTATGCAATCCCAATAAAAAAGAAATGCCCAACCAAAAAGTTGACTGTGTTGTGCTTGTGAGAAATGCACTGTACTTGTGGGTATTTCAGATCACTTTTTTCTATAAAGTTTAAAATGCAACAAAAAAGCGGGGAAGAGGTTCCAACTGGGCGTTACAAACTGAAAACCAAAAAATAATACAGGAATTTTTTTTTAAAAATAAAATATGTCTAAGAATACAACCTGCCCTATTAACAAATCTTACTTGAAGTGAGAAGGATAGTGTATAATTAACATGACAGTCGTCAGGTGGAGTTATCAAATCTATTGGGCATCTCTGTGCGTCACAAAGATGTTTAGTCACCCTACAAAAATAATTAAGAAAACAAAACAATATAAGCAATTAAGTTTAGAGTTTCATAGGTGTTCAGAGGCTGGATGCAAAAAAATTGAAGTCAATCACCGGGACTACAAAGCAGTCATACTTACGTGCCTCTACTATCATCATCATCCAAAGGTGCTTGAAGTAAAGAACCTGGACCAACCTGTCAGGAGAGGAGGGCTGTTAAAATGCTGCATACAAATTCATGAGTTTGGGAAACAGTGATAGCCCACAAAACTTGCCGTAATGTGAAAAAAGAACAAAAAGCCGTGAAAAGATAACAGAAATAGAATATGTGCATGCTAAAAATTCGATCTTTCTGATCCATCTATATGTTAGTCATGTAGATACTTGCTCCTACTCATGGCATGCAGAATGATTAAAAGAGTATATTGATATTATCTTTTGGATATTTGCATCCCTGGCATGAGAGAGAGCCCTAAGCAATTAAAACTCTAGAAGAATGTAATATAAATCTATTGTAACACTTAAAATCCTTTAAAAGGCTATAAGAATATCATTGCATTTATAGTTACTTACAGTTACGTTATAGAAGAGAGACAAGGATAGTCGCTGGCCTTTAATTGCATCCCCATCACCAGTCAACTGTAGCAGTCCCTGACCATATAAGCCCAAGTTTGTATTTGAACTAATGACGGAACTTTGCTGTAAAGGCAAGAAATCACAATCACCGTGAACACTCCGATCCGCAAAGAACAAAATATGGTTCTGAAACCAAGAATACCACATAGCTTGAATTAATGATTAACACAATTTACCCTTAGGACGGCCATATTTCTCACTTCAAGTACTGAAGCAGACACAACAGTACTTTTACTACCATCAATTTGTATTGTGGAGTTCCACATGAGTAGCATTTTAACAGCAACTCTAAATGCCCCAAAAACCTTCAGATATATTAAAGGTAAATTGTTAAATAATAAGCTGACTGCTGAAATTAAAGCTCGCAAAAATAGTATTCTAAAACAAAGAACCCCTAAATGGAATGAGAATAGAACCAAAACACTACAGAAAAAACACTTTGAACCGCTATATTGTTACCTTTATGATAGAATCACTCAACAAAAGCTCTTCAGCAACAAGCTCAAATTCAGAAATTGGAAAATCAGACAGCCCAAAAATTAAGCTCCCTCCATTATATACACTAATTTGGCCTCTTACCTTCATAATTAGAGAACTCAAATAAATATCGTATGTTAGGCTACAAGGGTTAAAAGTTGCAAGGACTAATAAATAAATTAAGCAAAATATATATAATGGTTCAATGAAATAAGTTTCACACTGGACCTTTTGTCTTGAAAACCCTCTAAGGAAAACAATTGGGTCTTCATAACAAAGCCATGGTAGTGATCCACAAGTTATGGGAAACACTGCAAGAATCTCTACTAGCATTGATATATACTATTAAAGGCCATGGCTCTGCCATAGTCCCATACACAATGTTTTATAAAGTGACTCAAGGATTGACAGAAGTTGTTAAGGAGGAAAGAAAAGATACACATACAATTGAATCCATCTGTCTAAATTACACAACAGATATGCCTATGTAGTCATAATGTAATTAAAAGAATAAAAAAAGTCCTTACTAAAATAGTTACAAGATATGACTAGCCTACTTGCATATATTCCAACACAACACTCTCGGCACAAAGCATATAGGTCATATCAACCAAGCTTGATACATATATTTACTTATTATGGGGCTGTGAAGCATGGATATGCAAAAAAATGCATCCAAATGGTACCAGACGTGTACCAATACACTAATACATCACAATACTTCGTTGATAGGCATTGAAGGAGTATCAGTTTTTTTAAAATAATAAAATAAAAAAAGTCGATACGCCGCGGATACAGCGAGTCATCTCATGGCTGTTCATTTTCTAGAACATGAATCAAGATTTTCCCCTCCTTGATCGCTCCTCTCTCCTCTAGCTACCTCCCCTCTCTTTTAATTGATAGTGTACATGTAAATTTTAATGCATCCATTCAATTTCACGGTTACCAATTTTCAAGATCTTATTCCGATGTATGCTCTGCCCCTCTCACACTTAATATTTAGCCATTGCACTACCCATTTTTTCTACTCTTTGTTTCTAGACACTGCACTATAATAACTAAGAGGATACAAAAAGACATCGAGACCAGTTATCCAGAACCAGAAGCAACACAATGATGTGAAAATTTTATATAGTATTTAGTAATGTGCTAAAAACCGTGTTCCGATTTTGGTCTTTGTACACTGATTTAATTTTTGTTATATGCGTATCTTAAATATATCATATCCTATATTTTCAATGAATGACGTATTGCCGAATCAGATATGCATCATGTCCGTGCTTCAGTGTCACGGGGCCTTTGAGAGACAAGTTGAATAATCTGCCTACTGATCATTTGAATTTCCCCAAAAAAAGGCAAAAACTTTCAGGATGCTTTGTGAGACATGGAAGTGGATGTGATATGTGGTCTTATGAAAGTTGTCTATCATACCAAAATTCTCTAAAAACATGCGTAAAAAATAGTAATAAAATGGCAAACGACGATTTTAATAGCATTCGTTTGTATTTCTCATGATGTACTAATGTAAACAAGTTGTTGATGCTTATAAATCAACAACTTTTTAATAAAAAAAATGAATGTGTGTTTGTCATAGTACATAATATGTATTACTTTCCTACCTGAACTCTGGACCAAACAAGTGGAACCAAAACTTTTGCATTATTTTCCACATAAACATTTGACCATAAAGGGCTGGTTGAGAAGTCAAGCAAAGGAGTCTCTGTTTCTGTTGACACATTGTCATTACTGACTCTCAAACTTAGTAAATTTGCATTGAAATACGTTCCAGCTGCTCCAGAATTGCCAGTACAACCAATACTCGAACCACCTGTCACAACAAATACACGTATTATGCACCAAGTTTTTTCTGCTATTCAGATTACAAAATAAAATAAAATAAAGCACTCTTGCATGTTATATGGATTGAAAATGTTGAAGATACAACTATAACAATGTCAGCCAAAAACTTTGTACAAAGAGAACATATATAAAAACACTAAGTGCAACATCAACACCGCCAAAAATTCGGGTTTTGTGCAGATGTGTAAAGGGGAATATTAAACTTCTTGCATTTGGGAAGCAGTCGGCATCCATCTCATTTCACAAGGATATAAGGGCAATCCTTCAAGTTAACAACACAAAACCAGAAGGTAATAAAGTAATTTCATAATAAAACAAACTTAAATTATTTGAAAAAAACACCTAACTGTTTTCTCTCGCCCATTCTCCTATCCTAGGTTATGTTATTCAATATTCATCCATATTATCCCCATTGCATCTGCCAATGAAGAAATTGATGCAGAATACTGGACTCACAACCTCATAGTCTGAAAGAATTAAGCTTGCAACTTGCAAGAGACGGAAATAGATACTTGCTTGACACTAAGGACATCAATGTGACAATTGAAAGCCAATCACATAAAAATGGACTCTTATCTGGAATAATGGACTGATTCCATAAATCTAAAACATGAGAACAACTTCTCAGAAATATTCAAAATCCAATTGAAAGCCTGACAAGTTGAGAGCTTTTGTTGACGAATGAATTCTGCACTCTATACTCAATTTAAAGGATTAAAAAACAGGCCGGGTTCTCAATTAAAATTGAAAATTTTCCTTTCCAACATTTCATGTATCACCTACTGTAACATGTAGGTAGCTTAGTAAGTATCTATTCCTTTATGAAAGAAGTATCCTTCCTCGCCTATGTTCATTTTCTTTCAGTAAATGTGGGGTATTTGGCTTATGCTTATATAAAAAAATTGCGAACAACTCTTATTTTGTTTAACGGAACTTCTAAACTTTAGCATTATGATTTACAAAGATTAAGCTTAACATTTTTACAGTAGAATTAAACATCAAACAGGAGTCATCATTGATTTAACCACCATGAACGAAAAGTGAATGGGAACAAACCATGGACAGTAATTTTTAAATCTTCTTGTATGCTGTAACAGTCAAGTGATATTCTCCCTCCACCGCCTCCACCCCATCCCATCCCACCAGCAGCACTGATAGTACCATATCCCTTCCTACACTCATCCAAAAAAATGAACGCCGTAAGAATGTTACAAGAATATTACAATAGATAACATGTGTTAGTTCCCTGATAAATCTATGATAAAGACAGTTGTAAAAACTAGAAGTACTCAAAAGCCTTCGATAAAGACAAATTGTATTGTCTTACACAATACATTTCCAAAAATATCAGTACTTCTTCAGAAGAAAAATAATACTACCATGTGCAAATTGTAAATGACCATGGGCCAAATGCCAAAGGAAATCCATGTAAACAGAAATTTAGACAATATGTCATTGTCAGCAGAGAGACCACAAATCTCTAATATTCACTATTAACATAATTTTCCTTTTTAGAGACATCTGCTAATATCCAATCGTCGACACTTTGGAACCCTTCTATATGTATTAAAACTACTAATTATAGTGTAGCAACTAGAAATTAGCAAGTAGTAACTGTTAGTAAGAGCGACTTCAGATGCTTTAGAAATGCATTTCCCTCTTCAATTAATAGTTAGACAACCATAATAGTTACAGACACCTTAAAAGTAGTTTAGAAGCCATACATGAAAAGCAGGTATATATGATCACAGACTGACAAGTACTTTATACTCACAATTTTACGGCATATACTAAAATACTTCCACCAGAACCACCTCCCCCATCATACCCTCCATCTCCTCCCTCTGCAGTAACAGACCCATTTACATATAGAGTGTCCTTCACTAAAAGCTCAATATGTCCCCCGCCATTCCCTCCATTTTGTTTTTCAGTAGATTTTCCACCACCTTTGCTCCCGTAACTCTTCGGTTGAGACAACGTAGACCATGAATAAACATCACCACCCCAGTTTGACTTATCGTTTTTTAAACAAGATGCACCACGCCCTCCGTGCCCACCACCAGATCCTACATTATCAACTGGTGTGCCACTAGTTTGGGAAGGTGGCGGCCCACCCAAAGATGATGAGTTTATAGAAGACTTGTAGTCCATAGTCACATTAGCAGCTGATAAAATAACAGAACCAGCAACAATGGATGCATTTTGACCAAGTTTAATGTTACCAGACACATTGACTGTTATCATGCACCCATCAATAGGACATAAAAGTGAAACATGGGAAAGTATCTCCAGGTTTCCAAGACCATATATAAGAATATCAGATTTCAAGTAATGAGTTGAGCTTAGCAAGCATGTCGTATTAAAAGATCCTACACCTTCCAAGTCCTCACAAGAAACAGACTTCATTGACAGTGACAAAGTTGATGTTTCAGCAAATGCAAAATCATCGAGTTGAGAATCATCTCTGATTAGTGAGTCAGTGTAACCCAAAAAGACTTCTGAGCCAGTGCTACTGTTCAAATGTTGTCCTGAACTAAGAGAAAGGCATGATATATGAAGATATCCCAATAGAATGCAGCACCAGAGATACTTAAGCATTACCGAAGAGAGCATCACCACCTACGGCACCGTAGGTATCAGTAGAACTCAGAATCGATGTAAAGTTTCAATCAGCTCTATGAAAATGACCATTGGCAGTTATTCTGAAAGCTACCTCCATAGTGATTCGTACTCAAGGAAGCGACTTCTATACATACATTCTGCAACTAAATATACAAAAGATTATTAAACAATAAGACAAATAGAAAGGTTAGAGTACTTTACTGTTCACATTTTCGCTGATATTAGAACTTAAACTAGCCATTACTTATTAAGTTCTATTTACATATAGATACAGTGTGATATTATAAAGCAAACTAAAGCGGGTAGAATAATCTTGTGAAACTTCGAGTTAGATTAGTAATGTTCGCAGAGACAATAACATCATACATCCAAAATATCATTGAGATAACATATCCAATGAAGAAATTTCCAATCAAATTAAATAACCCATGAAAGATAATGCATCACTGTAGTCAAGATCTTAAGTGTGTGTGAACATGTCCATATAGTACTGCAGATGTACAACTATGGCACTCAATGACAAATCACTTAATCTAATTAACTATTTTAGTAGCCTCAGTCGAAGTCATTCTAAATTGTTGACACCTTGTTGCATATTAAACATTGCAGGAAAGTTTTGATCCCAAAAATGGTATTTCATCGGCTAAAATTTGTAACATAGGAACCATATCTCTCAATCAACCAAATACTAACTCTTGCTGCCATATTTAACTATGTCATTGACATTAACTCTTATAAAAGCTAGCATAATATCAACTTCATTACAACATGGATTCTGGCAATGAAATGCTTCAGATTTCCCTATTCATCCAAAAATAAATTCCAAAGAATGATCAACACTCTTAGTCAACAGCATTAATTAATTAGTGACTAAAACATTTGTTTTAAATATCCTAGCTGCAAAAGCCACTCATACATAGTAATAAGATGTGGAGAATTGCAGGTTTGAACTCGCATCACAATACATCAAATTTCAGTGCAACAGTTTACCATTTGAGTTGTACATACAAAACACTACAACCTAAAATCGGGTGCCTGTTAAGGTTTTGAAAAACGGTCAGCGGCCGCAAAAAAAGGCCGCGACAAAATGGTATCGGTTTATTCACAATTTTTATATTAAAGAACAAATTATAGTTAATTCACATCACCACAACTGCAATCAGTATCATGATGAACGAAATTGCAAAAGCTGTTTTTAAAAACCTTGTGCACAAGTATGCATATCCTAAGTTTGTGATAACCATTTCATTTCTCATAGCAATAAATATACAAATAAAAACTCCATCGATTACATAACAGTTTATTTGGTAATTCATAATGATTCCTTAAAATCCAAAATTATCCAAAATTTAGAAACCTCTACAAAAAATCAGTGAAAGCATATAATCAAACCTCGACCACGAATCAATTCAGAGAAGAATTGAAAAAAAAAAAAAACGGAAAACAAAATTACAAATTCTCATGCAATGCGATCGGAATGATCAAAGGAAAACGGAAGCATAAAACCTAACAACGAATCAAGAAATCGGTGATAGCAGTAGTAGAAGCAAGAGTGAGTGAAGTAACTAACCGTGAAAGTGAAAATTGGAGAGAACGAATCTTAGAATCTGTTTGGTTTAGGAGTTGAAAGAATTGGAAATAGATAGTCCAAGTGAGTGAGAATCGTTTTTTGTTTCACTTTTGCTTTAACTTTGTGGCTCTCGCTTTTGGTTTATAGAATGAAGAATTTTGAACGAAAGAAGGTGGTATTGGTTTTAGTGAGAGAGTGAGAGTTCTAGAGAGAGAAAGTGAGAGAGAGTAACGTAAGAAAAAGAGTGTGTAGGAGTCCAATGGAAGCTACGTTTTGTATAGCTGGACACTGATCTAGTCTCAGTCATTTACGCTGCTTTTATTACTGCAAATGAATGATTGAATCTTAATTTTGGTATATACTCTAGTAGTATCTATCTACCCTCCTTCTTCTACATAATTTCAGGGTTACCCTACTTTTTCAGTGTCACCTTCACTTGTGTAGCTGTATGCTACTACTTTCTCCGTACTATCAGCGGTTACAATTGCTCTAGTACTACACATAATAATAGCCATCACTGAATTAAAACATTTTAAGAAATAATTAATATTATATTATTATAAAATTGAAGTCATATTTACTAAAACATACAGTAGGAATTGTGACTCGTATATTTAATTGTTTATGAGTAATTTCTGCCTCAAATTGCTTGTTTACTTGCTGGTCATGATGTAGAGATGAGTCATCATAATATAATTGCATTTTATAGTAGTAATTTTTATAGATTTCTATCCTCTTTCATCCCAAAAGGAAATAAAAAAGGACGCAGTAATTGTATTATAAAAAGTTATAAATAAATAAATCCAAATTCTTTAATTCTGTTAAAGAGTGGATTCTTTTTTTAAATGGGAAAAAAAGTTTGTTGGTGGAATTTATATTTTGTTTTGGATTGATTGATAAATTCATTTCTGATTGTACTAAAAAGGAAATCATTCTCAAATTAATTTATAAATGAATAATAATAATAATAATAATAATTAATAATAATAATAATAATAATAATAATAATAATAATAATAATAATAATAATAATAAAATTCAAAAAGATATCTTTAAATGCAAGATAACTCAAAATTAAGAAGTTGGTTTTAAGGCATGAGTGTGAAAATAAGTTATATTAGAAACAATGAGAGTTGAAGATTAAAAAATAAACGGTTGAAGAGTAACATTATTCATCTTAGAGACTTTTTAAAAAGTTTTTTAACCAACTAAGATGATTTTTGTTTAAGCATATCAGCGGCATGCAAAATATGCTGTTTATTATAAATAAGAACATTGGCCTTTATAATAAAGAGTTTATTTTTTCTAAATTTGTTCTGGACTGGGCCTGTCCTTGGCCCAACTATTAGTGAGGTCCAATCCAAACTTGTCAACCTGCTGTGTTGAGTAGTATTTCCACCGAGCACATCCCAACCACAGATGTCTTGTCGATCATGACCGCTTCTCATTGGTGCTCGCAAGACCATCCTCGACGAGCACGCGCTCCTCCCGAGCACTTTTCTCGTAGGGCTGACTTCCAGCCTCTCTGAATTTTGCGGAGTCTTCATGGTCCCGGAAAGATCGCGTCTCTATCCTCCCTGTCTTACGGAGGACGTTATCCAGGCAGGGGGCCACGTGCGGGTCCCCACTACACACGTAGAATCTGGCAGTCTCTTTGTTGGGCCTATTTGATCAGCCCAATAAAGAGACCTTGGCCCAGTGCTGGGGGCTATAAATACCCTCTCTTTCGAGAGGGTCAGGTATTCATCCATTCACACCTAAAACTCATACTTGCTTGCTCATTTTGCTTCTCACTTTACCATCGGAGTGTCTTACAGGTACCCCCTCCATCTCATTCAAGCTCAGCCTGAAGCCAGCTGTGACGGTCCAACTCTGATCAGGTTAGATCAAAATCATTAGTCCGTAAGATGCAAATAATTGTTGTCTCAAAATTTGCAACTTTGTGGCAATGTGTATAAAATTTGTTACTCAATTTTAATTCAAACCATACTTTTTACACTAATTTTTAGTTGTATTAGCAGTTCACTAGCAGTAGACTTAATCATATTTGAAGAATTCACCTATATGTCATAAATCCATCAAGCATAATAGTTAGAATAGTAAACATATTAACTCGGAACCCAAAGCATTGACTTTGAATCCTAAATTGTTTGTCGAGATCATTTGTTGGTAAAAATATCTTACACATTAAACAAATTATCACACTTAGTGGGAGAGGGTTAAAGATAGTTTGTTTCGAACTTTAGCCATTGCATGTGTTTTAGAAACAGTCAAATGAATGATCAAGAGGTTAATATATCTCACAATATTGATCAAGTTTCCCAAGAGAAACTATCTTCGAACTCGAATGATCATTTAAACCAACCTTATACTTACCATGCATATGATTCTCTCTTGTTCAAATAGAAACATCTCATTTGACTGACTGTTACTTTATTTTATTAAGTTATTGTTCTCACTCTTTTAAGTAAAAAGTTGAGTATTGTTTATTGGAAGTGTAATCTTCTGTTTTGGTTCTTGTCACTGGTTTTTGATTACTTTTATCACTGAGGTGATTGTGAAAAGTGAGAGAGGGATCAAGTATAAATTGCACAAGGTAGTGATTAGGTGATAAGTTGTAAACTATGGTTGTTTAGCTTTGAACTAATATTAATATAGTGAATTTCCTTCTTGACTTGGTAGCCCCCATAGTAGGTGAGTTACACCGAACTGGGTTAACAATTGATTGTCTTTTTTACCTTCTGTAATTTACTACTGCATAATTATTCTTTTGGTAAAAGTGTTTTTTGTCAGCAAATGATGTCATAACATCCGTCTTAACATTGTGTTTTGATGTTGGGACATCAATCTTGACATCTGTTTTTATAGTATCGGAATTTCAATTGATATTAGAGCAGACACCCTGTTCTGTTTTGGATGAGCTCCATGGAGAATAATTTATGGTACTATGGATAAGAAAGAAGGATACAACAATAGGCCACCTCTGTTAGATGGTGCAAATTATGACTATTGGAAGGTTATAATGGTAGTCTTTTTGAAATTCATGGACAACAAATCTAGGAAGACTGTGTTGAATGGATGAAATCATCCTATCGTGAAGGACAAAGATGGGAATAAGTCCTTGAAGGCAGAAGAATATTGGTCTAAAGAGGAAGATGAATTAGCTCTTAGAAATTCCAAAGCCTTAAATGATCTATTGAATAAAGTGAACAAGAATATTTTCAGGTTAATAAATTCGTATACTTTAGCTAAAGATGCAAGGAAATCCTCAAGACAACTCATGAAGGTACATTAAAAGTGAAGATGTGTTCAGACTTCAACTTTTCACTACCATATTTGGGAACCTAAAGATGAATGATGATGAAAGCATTCAAGACTTTCACATGAATGTTATTGAAATAGCAAATGAATTTGGTGTCTTGGGAGAGAAGATGTCAGAAGAAAAGCTTGTTAGAAAGATTCTCAGGTATCTACCTAAGAGATTTGACATGAAGGTGACAGTCATTGAAGAAGCTCGTGACATCAACAACATAAGGGTTGATGAACTTATTGGACCACTTCAAACTTTTGAATTGGCTATTAATGATAAATCTGATAAAAAAAACAAAAGCATAGCTTTTGTATCTAATTTTGAAGATAAAGAGAGTTAGTTAGATTTGGACACTGAGGAAGGATTCTCAAATACCATTATATTACTTGGAAAGCAATTCATTAGAGTTCTGAAAAGAATGGACAGAAGAGGAAAACCTAATGTCAGGAACATCTCATCTGATATCAACAATGATGATGATTTTCAGAAAAATACCAGAATTGGGGAGAAGTCCAGTCAAAGCAAAGGGATTCAATGTTTTGAGTGTGAAAGATTTGGTCACGTTGAGCCAGAATTTCCAACCAATCTCAAAAAACAGAAAAAGGGACTTTCTGCATCTTGGTCTGATGATGATGAGTCAGAAGATGGTTCTAACTTAGAGACTGTCAAGCTTGTGACTGCTCTTGTTGGTAGATGGGAAAATAAATTTGAATCATGTGATGAAAATGTCCTCTATGGAGATTTGGATGTGTCCTACAAGGTTACTTGTGATAGGTGTGAGGAAAGTCTTAAGATAAAGGAAGATCAGAGAAAGATTATAGCTGAACTAGAGAATGAAAAGAAGAAGCTGATATGTGTTATGTCTCATCTACAAAGTGAGGTAACTCTCTTAAATTCCAAGCTTGACAACTTGACAAATTCTTTGAGAAGAATGAAAAATGAAGCTGATATGATGAAAGAGGATGAAGATACAGAGGTTAACCATTCATTTGATAATCAAAAAAATAAAAGATATGTAGAAAAGTTATCTCCTTCTGAAAAGAAAAGAATGATCAATATGTCCAACCATATGTTACAACATCCTGACAGATTTAATGAAACTCCAACAAATTCCAATACTCCAACTTGGAGATGTCATTATTATGGTGAGTATGGTCATATAAATTCTTTTTGTTATAGATTGTATGGATTTCAAAAGAAGTCGGGTCCTTCAAAGTCTAACCAAGCGAGTAAAGAGAGAAGAGCTTCAACCAGAGAAGACATGTATTTGGATAGTGAATACTTTAGATAAATGATAGGGGTTTAGAAGTTGCTAGTAGACATCAAATCTCATCTCACTGGTTCTGTCAGATTCGGTGATAGATTCAAAGGTAAAATAAAGGGATTTAGAAAATTGTTGTGTGGTGGCTCTCCTAGTCTAGAAGACGTTCTTCTTGTAGAAGAACTAACTGCTAACCTTATCAGCATAGTAATTTGTGTGACCAAGGATTGTTAGTTAATTTCTCAAAGTCAAAATATTTAGTCAAAGATGATAAAGATGTTGTTATGATGAAGGGTACAAGGTCTAAAGATAATTGTTATCTGTGGGAACCTCAAATAAATGCTTACTTTTCCACGTGTTTAATAATCAAGGAGAATGAAGTGAAGCTATGACACCAAAATCTTAGATATCTTCATCTCAAAAGAATTAAGGAAATAATATTTGAATGAGCCATTATAGGAATGTCATAACTCAAGGTTGGGGAAAGAGAAGTATGTGATAAGTGTGAGATTAGTAAGCAAATCAAGATGTCACATACAATGTTACAACATCAGACTACTTCCAAAGTGTTGGAACTTCTTCACATGAATTTAATGGGACCAATGCATATAGAAAGCCTGGGTGAAAAGATGTATGTCTATGTGGTTATAGATGATTTTTCAGGGTATACATGGATGAATTTTATTGGATAAAAATCATATACTTTTGAGGTCTTCAAAGATATGTGTCAAAGGATTCAAGAGGAGCAGAATAGTGTGAATGTCAAGATTAGAAGTGAACATGACAAGGAGTTTAAGAATTCAAAATTCTCTGAATTTTGTGCTTCTGAAGGTATCAGTCGTGAGTTCTCTAAGCAGGATAGAATTGTTGAGCAAAAAACTAGGGTTATACAAGAATCAACAAGAGTCATGCTTCATGCTAAACAATTACTA